CACACGGTGAAGGCGAGCGGTCGTTGCTTTCACCATGGTTTTGGTGCCAAAAACACGCGGTGAAGGCAAGATGCCCGGCCTGCACTCCGCTATGCGACCCGAGATCACCTGGGCAATCTAGACACTGGCAGTTTGCCTCGCCCGCGAAGCCGAAGTGTGGGGATTGCTCGCCCGCAAAAGAAGCCGGGGTTTTCACACCCGACTGGCAGGGGTTCTCACACCCCGCCGACAGGGGCTCTCGCGGCCTGCCACCCTGAACACTGAACCGGAAAATGGAATCCAGGACCTCCGTGCTCTTTGGGCGTTGGCGGCACTGGCGGCAGCCAGTAAATATAATTAATGCAGTTCACAGTGCACAATATGAGAAAGAAACATGATTGTATATTTTCTTCAGAATTCATTTCGCTATATACTGTATTGAAGAATTTATTCAAATCTAGATCTAGAATGCTTTCAATACAACTAGAGCCTTTCCAAATAATGAACGACTGGATCAATCATGATTCATGATTCTTGACCTTACTCTGTCTCCATACCATCATGGATTCTGTGCTTATAATGGCTTATAGTGAAGTATCCTGTCATTGTTCTGTCTTTAAATCGCACCGACAACGACAACATGCCCCTGAGCATGCTCCGCGCGAGTGTCAACAACCCTGACACGCTGACCTTGCCCTTCCCTACACACGTGCACCCATCCATCCCAAAGCACCACTGCCCTTCCAAAGCTCCTCCTACCTGCCTAACAACTCTAAGACAACCTGCATCAATACCTTATTGCTTGTATTTCCTGACGCATGTGGTTGCTCATTATCTTATCAAGACATACTGATGGACAAGCGACGGACGCACAAATCGATAGACAGAGTGAGACAGATGGACGATAGACATAAGAAGCGATGTGCGGATGATCGGAATGTTTGGAGCTTCTCTCGGTTTGAGTTCCTAACTTTACGCGCTCTTGACGCTGTTGGAGTCGACGCCTCTCCATTTCTGGATGATCGATGCAGGCAGACAGCTGATGCAGCCGGGGCCATTGCGGGCAAAAGATGCTAAAGTTCGAAGGCACCCTACTCCCTCATGATGTCTCCGAGCCATATCCCTCTTCAACCAACCTAAACCACAATGTGCATTCAAAGGATTCGCGAAGATGATGCAGCAACCCAGCCGATCCTTTTTGCTCGTTCAATCCTTTCCCATCTAATACTCTGCACACCTCAGCATAAGCCTCGCGGTGCAACACAGCGAAAATCTTGGACAGCCATGGCAGCCTTGTCTGAAACTTGGCCTGGCCTCTGTGATCTCTTGAAACTTCAACTTTGCTTCGGTGCCTGTTGCTAAAGCGTCCCGTGCTCATTCCATTGTGCTTGACAGGCAGTGCCCCCTGAGACTGCTGCTGTCTTGGTTCTTGTCTGGGTGGAAACGCAGCGCAAGCTGTCGATAGGCTTTCTTTACTGCCGCTGCTTTGGCTCCAGGCCTGTTGATTCCAGCACCAATGTGAAGCAACAGACTCAAGAGAAGCAGTGCGGATGCATGAGAAGTAAAAAGGCCTGAGGTTCAATGTGCGAAAGTACTGCTCCATCTGCTGCGGCGTTGGCTTCGGCTTGCTGGCTTTCTTTTTCGGCTTGATGAAGCCGCTGGAGAAGAAGTAGTTGTACAGTTCCTGCCGCAGGTAAACGGCTCTCTCGGTGCATGGTCAGGTACATGATTGTACATGGTGGCCCACGAGAAGATTAAGGGGCCTGGTCGGACCAGGTCGACTCAGCCTGCACACGACATGCTTCACTATGCTCCAATGCTCGACGTTGGGTAAAGTCACGGAGCCTCGGGAGGTGGCATCTCTCCACTGTAGCTCGGGAAAGGTTCCATTGCCTTTCGAATCCGAGGTCCAATGTTCTCCTCTGTTTCCAAATCCCAAGCTGGCCGTGACGGACCCAACACGCACTCTGGCAAGTCCTGATCCTCGCCATCGCTTGACTCTGGAGTTGGCGGTCTGCGCTTTGCTTGAGATTGTGCTTGTGTCTTTGCTTTTGCGTGTGGCTTGCTTGTAGAGGTGTAGCGGGAGTTGACGAAGAATGGCTCGTGTGTCCTTAGCTTTGCGGATCCGACACAACTGCTCTGCCGCTCTAGATCTCTCACGTTATGCAGAACCTACCAGTTCCACTTAGCCATGAACATGCCGGAGTTTAGGTTCTCTGTAGTCCTCGTCCTTGCCTGCAAACTTGCGCAAATCCTTCCATTCATACCCATCATACCCCTTCTCCTGCATGGCCTTGCCCATTTATCCTTCCAGCAGACTGAGAATCGGGGCTTGGTTGGCAGATGCCAAGTCAAATCGGTTTGATGCCTTGAATGACCACTTCAGTCTCACCTTGTGCCCAAGAGCTTGCTTGGCTAACTGTCCCTTCTGTAGGAGAGCAAAAGCCAAGACGGGTGGGAGCGCCAGGCTTTACGGACATGGGATTTCAATCATATCGAGCCGAAGCAGCACCTTCCTGCCTATCCTCACTGACTTGTCAAGCCAAGCCGCTTCGTGGCTGTGTTGGGTCGAGATGGCAAACGAGTTGGCTGAGCACCTGAGGACGGGATGACAGGAAGATCATGCAGTTGTGTATTCTAAGACAAGCTCAATCGCAGATGCTGACGCAACGCTTAGGCCATCACCCGTGTACCGAGTTGTAGCTGGATCGGTAGACTTTTGTGTGGATTGAGCCTCGGAAAGCCAAGCACGAGCACAAATGCAAAGCTGCTAGGACTGTGAGCAATGGCTGCAGTCGCGAGGCAGATGAGTACGCCGACGATGCGCTTTTAATCACAGGAGACGATGCCAGCGTTGGTGTGAAAGACGTGTTGCCAGACCGAGTCTGTGATGGCATCGACCTGTCCTGCTGCACCTGCAAGCAGCGCATCCATCGAAGAAACACAAAAAGGCACGCGTGCGGGCGAACAGTTGCTTGTCAAGCAACAAAAGGAGGCTGATGTTGGAGTCAGGAAGATCGAGATACGGTAGATGTATCGAAGGTGTCGACCCCCGACTTCTGATACTGCTACTCGAAGCAGACGCGAAAGCTGGGTGCCATCAAGGCCCACAATTTCTCTGGTGTTGGCCTTGGGCCTAGCAGCTGTTCGGATTGGGGGCGCGCAGGGTGGGTGTGGATCCCAGGGCGGTACCAAAGGACGCCGTCCCGAAGAGCACCCCCCACCCTCACCGTTCCCACTACTGGGGCGGTAGTACCCAAGAATCTTTGCACATTTACTTGCATTCACTAGTCACTAGGTATTCAGCGCACTGGTTCTCTCTTCCCATGTCCGAGGGTCTAGACCCAGTGTGTCATATAGCTGTAGCGGCATGTAACGGCTTATCATGCTCAGCTGGCAGTTTATGAGTCTGTCTTCCTGCTTGGTTGCATGTCCGCCTTCGGTGCTGCAGGGTGGCCCCTGCGCATGCCCTCAGTGCTTGGAGCATTGCTGCCTCAGCAGTGACCGCACTGCTTCGCCTCCTTGGAGCTCGTGGGGGTTGCATGGCGAAAAATACTTGGCCGGTCCAAGTGTTCTCACATTGATTATTCACGTGCACGTCGTCTGGCTCGCAATTCAGTGCCCCATGACTGAACATTGTGGCTTGACTGCACTAGTCACTAGCTAGTTCTCCCCCACTTGAACTCTGTAACGGAAGGCAATGACATTTGCGGAGCCTTCCTGAGATGTTGAGAGGGAGGCAGGCCACACCGTGTGCTGCTCGACGCTCACCCACCCCCTCGCTCCCTCCCTCCCTCCCCTCCCCTCCCTCACGTGTTGGCCTGCGGTAATTGAAACAGTGTCCTGTCTCGAGGATTATGTTTGAAGGCTTGAACTTCACTGCAATTCAATAGCCTGTGCATTTATGCTATTCAGGTGTCGCGGTGACCAACATATGCCGTGACGTTTTCCTAAGGCTTAGGGCTGCAAGCCCTGACAGTGGCAGGACTTTTCCTTGTGCTGTTGATTTCTCCCCTGATGCGACCGGCTTTTCCTTACGCTGAAGGTTTTTCCCTTTATGTGAACCTGGCTGCTAGTTTTTCCTTGTGCTTCGCGTCCCCCACCTCCCCCTTCCCCCGCGCAAAACCAGATTTTGGGCATCTTGCGCTTTGCAGGAAAACTGCGAATTGTTCGGCCCTTACATGGCCCCTTGAAAATACCTCCAACTGCGGTCTTAAAGGCAAAATCCGATGCCTACAAAGGGCGGTATGCGTTCTTTCAACAATTGCTTCACTTGAGCCACGTCTCTGCACAAGCTGGGTTTTTGGGTCTTGCTGAAGCTGACAGGCTTTTTCCTTCGAGCTGCCTGCTCCTTCGATGCCAGTACATGGCCTCTTGCAGAACCTCCGGTCGGATGTGAGAATGTCTGAAGACCGCAACTTGTGAAACCTGATTCTGAAGCGCTTGTTCTTTCCCGGGGATTGCCAGTTGTTGGTTCGAGCTGCACGCTCCTCGGGCCCGTGGAGACTGTCACCTTAAAGCAACTTCTGAAGCCAAGACAAGCCGTGAGCCTACATGCAAAAAAGTAACCTACTTTGCTGAGCGAGGGTAGTTCAAGGCAGGACGCTACGAGGAAACCTTTGGGAACCCAACGGAGCAGTAGAGAGAACTGGGGATTACGAGGTTGTATACCCCCCCTTTGACGCTAGTTTGCCATGCCTCTGCAAACAGCAGCTTTTGAACAGTCTAGAGGGCAAGCATGGCTTTCGCACCGACATTTCTAAACAGAAAACCATACATCATCAAGGTGTCCCGGGCCGGCTATGGCTCCCCGGACTAGTCGAAATAGTCGTAAGACAATAGTATGAGAAACTCAACGGTAGTGCGACCGAAGTCATGGCATTGTCCCAGAAGTAGGAGCAACTGAGGCACCAATGTAGAGCGCGTACCAAGACAAAATGCTTTTTGTCGCTTCGGTCTATGAGCCGGCAGTGGCCTCGAGAAAAAACAAACCCAATACATGCCTTGGGCAGCCTTTGGGGAGGAGGGGCGAGAATGAGGAAAAGGGGGATGGAGGCAAGGGGCAAGGGGTGGAAGGCGGGAAGGAAGGGGGGGGGGGCAAGGCAGGACAGGTAAAAGCCAGAATCGCATAAGAAACACAGCGAGGTGCGCACAAGGAAACGCCAGGTAAGCACAAGTGAAAGCCAGGTGTGCATAAGGAAGGGAAGCCAGAAGAATAAAAAGAAACACCATTCGCATAGAGCCCAACCTCATATCACCGGCATGGCAGGGGGGGCGAGCAGGGAGCAAACCATCATCATCTGTAGCTTCTACTATGGCGGCCGTCTGCCTTCATGATCGTTCTTCCTGCCCCTCCCCCGCTCGTGGGTCCAGGCCCTGCCCTGAGCAGGTGTAGGTTGCTTCGAAGACAGCATCGGGGAGCGAGACACAAAGAGAGTGAGGACAGAGGATTCGTCCGGGATTTGAGCTGTTCGTACCAGTCCCAAAGCGAGGTTCGATTGGCTTTGGTAGGGCATCAAGTTATTCCGGAAGCTAGCAGGAAAACATAGAAAAATATCGAACGCAGTGTCAACCTGACTGGAATTTCTTCGCGGAGCTCGGTTATTGTGAGAATGACAATCTTGTTGGCTTCAGTTGGCTGGCAAAAACGGAAGCCGAGCCAAGCTTCATTGGACGTCTTTGCGTACTTGTGGGCTTCACCAATGCCAACTGACACTACTTGATAATTTGATAGCCGTCAGCGATGTTCGCGCAGTTTCCGTCGTGTCCCTACACAATTGAGCCCCTTCCCCGCACAACAGCCTATCGCAATACGCCCAACGACATGAGTTTGGGTCTGTGCAGTAAAGACTAATCCGCTAAAGCCTTGCCAATTGTAGTGAAATCGAAGAGAGTGACTGTAACATGCTGGCATAGAGTGAAGTACCGTAGAGTACAACATTGTAATGTTGAGCGAAGTATGTTATACCAGCATATTGTGTACGAGTAGAGAACTATCTTTTGAAGTTCAATTCCACCGAGCAACATCTAGTGAAACTAAGTCTGCTTCAGCATAGTCCATTACGAGACAGCATCGAGAGCAAGTATAGCCTAGCGCAGTCCAAAGTATCTGCAGCATGCTGCAATTTGCTACGACGTACCATGACGTACTGCATGGGTATTTCATGCAGGTGTGTGATACGAAGCAGGGAACATCGTCGCATGCCCCTGTCCAATCTGCTGAAACCCAACAAAAGCCTCTACAATCTGACATTTAGAATCAAGCACAAGCCAAGCGTGTTTGACATACCAAAACCAGTATAGTCGATTCATCCCAACCAAGTATCCACCTATCTTTGTGTTTTTCTGTTGATGTCTCGTCGCTTGCCCCATGGGCTCTGGTGAAGTGCAGAGCCGGCCTGCGGTGGTCGTCCCCGAGGCACCTCCTTCTTAAGCACAGGCCCTGCTTCTGCCGGCACAAGATCTGTGGATTCACCTTGCAGTCTTGAAGAATGCCACTGTCTTGCACAATAACGAGGCACTGTTGGTGCACGGTATGGACATCTAGCAGAATCTAGCCGATACCTTTTGCGGAAGTCGTGTCTCTTGCATGTCGTAGGCAAGCTGCTCACAGTCAGTGGCTCAGATCTGTCTGCAGCAGCGGCCGCCTCTGCCAGCACTCTGTCAGCAAAAATGCACCACTTAGCTAAACGCTAGGATCATGATGCCTCAGAAGGTCGTGCACTTGGAGAAGATGGGACGTGCTGATCGACATTCTGCTCGTCTTCCTCGGCCGACACGGTACAGAGATGTCGCGGACCCCTGATCGAATCCCTCGAGCTTGGCTACGCACACTTTGGCAAAGGTCTTCTTTCTTCAATTGATCTTCTGCAGCCTTGTCATCAGCTTCAAACAGCAGACGTGTGGGGACACATGTCGCTGCACATGTGTGGTTTCTTGTGGAATCCGTCTGGGCTCCAAGTCCTCTCGAGAGGTCAGTCACGCGCCGTGCTTTTGCAAAAGACACAGGGCCCCTTGCCGCCCGCAAGCACTAGCACGAGGGAGAATAAATTCAACAAAAGTACGGAGGGTTAGATCGAAAAGAAAGCACCGCGCAAGCTCCAGCCACAGAGCCAACATCAGAAGGAGTCCGTCTCGCCTAACACCCATCGGTGTTCATGCTCGTGGTATTGACCGACAGGGAACGAGGAAGCG